ACATGGCTATTTCAGAAGCATTTAAAGAGGCTACTTGACTTAGAAGGTTGTACGGTGAGCTATGTCGTGATTACTCATGCACTATAATTTATTGCGATAGTCAAAGTGTGATATGCCTCACGAAGGATTCGATGTTCCATGAGCGAATGAAGCACATTGACATAAGACACCGTTACATCAGAGATATCATAGACGAAGGCGATATCAAGGTGATAAAGATTAACACCAAGCACAACCCGACTGACATGATGACGAAGTCGGTTCTGACCGCCAAATTTGAACTTTTTTCAGATTTGGTTGGTATTTCAAATTAAGTCCTTAGGGGCTTTTGAACACTATATGTTTTTCATTTCACTCGATCGTTTAAGGTTACATTGCTGAAGATTGGTTTCGTCGCAAGGTGGAGTTTATTGGATATGCTCCGAACAGTTTTCATCTAGTGCCCAACAATTTGACAGTTATACTAGTGGAGTTGTTTTGTTTCCTTGCCCATCAAGTAAAAAAGTTAGATTAGGACTCGTTTTAGTTAGTCCTATATATAGGATATTAGATCATCTTTCTGGATTATCCTTTTCATTCCCGTTCTACACCTTTGTAACCCTTTTCAACATTGAGATTAATATAGTGTTCATGCAAAGTGGTTTTTTCCATATTCTGGATTTTTTACACTATAAATCCGGTGTTATTTTGGTTGCTTGTTTATGTTCTTACTCTTTCACTAGCGGTGGACCAAATCTAGGGTTAGATAATATAAATGTTAACTTGAATATATAAGAAAGTATTGTATATCCATGTTATTCTAGACTAACTATCACCACCATTGATAAGAAATCTCTAGATCAATCCATTCATAATTCAAATATTTAATTAATTATTTAGTTACCTAATTTCATGATCATGATGCTAGTTGCTTTGTAATTATTTGTATTAGTCCATCGGATCAAGAAAACTAGTCGTTCTAATAATCGGTAATTGACTTGTTAAATCCATTACTCTAATAAATCAACCATAGAAAAATAGGATGATTCAGAATCTAAGTAAAAGTAATTTAACTTGATTGTTTAAATCAAGTTCTTTGGTTATGTTTGGTTATAAATCAAGTTTAACTTGATTGAACAATCCCCCCCCCCCTTTAGTTAATTGTTTATAGTATATTTAATTATTTTATTATCTAAATTAAATCATATGCTCGTTCCCCAAGAGTTCAACACTCTTACTTATCAAAACTATACTATACTCGATTAGGTCCAACTCTTACTTATCAAAACTATACTATACTCGATTAGGTCCACTGTGTGTTAGTATGTTATCATTTGGTTAGGTTATATAAGGATTTACAAATTTAAACATGATTATATATATATATATATATATATATATATATATATATATATATATATATATATATATATATATATATAACATCAAGTTTTTGGTATCGTTGCCGGGGAACTTTTTAATTTGTTTTGATTATTTTGCCTTTAGTATTCGATTCTTTTTGAGAGATTTATTCCACATAAATTTATTTTTCTGTTTAGTTTTTATTTTTTGAAAATCGAGTCTTAGGGATGCGAAGCCCAATTGCTCGTGACGCGACCTTGAGGTATTCCTCTTTGTTGTTAGTTTTCCTTTTTGTTCCTTTTTAGGCCTTTTTTTGTTTATTTTCTATTTGTTTCGGTTATTTCATAGTCCACATCATGACGAACACCACCTACCTTACGCTCGAGTAGTATGTGATTCGTAGCAAAGAGGGCAACGACCCAGGTCAAGTTCGTCCAACAATCGTAGAAGCAACCAAGTTCAAGCTCAAGGGGCAATTTCTTAATATTTTAAAGGAAACACCATTTTTTGATTTTTAATACTCATGCTTATTTTTTATTTTTTGATTTTGTTAAGAATTAGAAAGATTGTTGAATTTTTAATGATTTTAGTTTTTGAAGGTTTATGTATTTCCTGTCGTTGAAAAAGGAGGAATTATCTACCTAACAAATGAAAAAGTAAAGAATCATTTTTAAAAAAGACCATGGAGAAAACTTTTAAAATTCGGTATGGTTCATGATTTTTTTAGTATTGTATTTTTCAACTGATGTTGTTAACATTAATAGCAATATATCTAGCCATCTAGCTTGTTAAACCAAACATTGCATACCCTAGCTAGTTTAGTTTTCTAGATTGCCTACCTTCTCTAAAAACACAAATGGGTTTAATGAATAACTTTTTATAAAATCACACAAATTAAATGCTTGTCCATCAGACCATCTCCAATGTTGTGAGGATCCGGGCTGGTAGAATCTGGGTATGCATTTTGGTATGAATGTTGTGAATGATTATTTGGATTTGGGTATGGATATTGTGGATAATTGTTTGGACTTGGATATGGATATTGTAGATGATTGTTTGGATTTGGGTATGGATGTTGTGGATGATTGTTTGGATTTTCGGGATCATAAGAAGATAACAAGTGTGTATAGTAATTTTGGATTCATGATTGGTGTATCAGATGGTTGGTAGGTGTGAATGAGAATATAATATGTTCGTCATTATTTGTAGAGTTGAACATCTTGTATGCATTTGCCTTTAATTTGAATTTCAAATGACTTTAACTTTAATTTAACTTTAATTTTGATTTCATTTCACTTTAATTTCAATTTCATTTGACTCCAATTTCAATTTCATTTAACTTTAATTTGGATTTCATTTGACTCCAATTTTAATTTCATTTAACTTTAATTTGGATTTCATTTCACTTTAATTTCAATTTCATTATACTTTAATTTCAATTTCATTCAAATCTAATTTGGATTTCATTTTACTTTAATTTGGATTTCATTTGAATATAATTTAAATTTCATTTGACTCTATATTTTTTCTATAAAAGAATACAACCTTTTTTATTATCTCATACCTACCAATTCAAACAATTTCTTATTTCTTTCTTATACAATGTCATCATCATCCTCAGATGATTCTGCTTCTGAATTCATATTCAACGATCTCACAAGTAATTCTACATTTCAACTATATAAGGAGCTAAAATGCTTGGAAGCAGAATAGTCAGATGCTGAAAGTTCAAGACGTCCTGGGCAAAGTCGAAGATATATAGATAGAAATCGTGAAGAAGGACATAAACGTCTTTGGAAAGACTATTTCGATGAGCATCCTGTTTTCCCACCTCAAACGTTTAGACGAAGATTTCGAATGAGGTGAGAACTATTTGTTCAAATAGTTAACGATATGTATAACCATTCTATTTATTTTCAACAAAGAAACGTTGCTTTAGGAAACAATGGTCTTTCCCCTTTACAAAAATGCACCGCTGCCATACGCCAGTTGGCATATGGCACAACTGGTGACCTCTTTGATGAATACATACGAATTGGTGAATCAACTTCAATCGAATGTCTACAAAACTTTTGTCGATGTGTGATTGAGGTTTATTCAAGCCATTATTTGAGAAAACCTAATGCTAATGACATCCTAAATTTAGTACAAAAACATTTAGAAAAGCACAGGTTTCCTGCTATGCTTGGAAGTATTGATTGCATGCATTGACCTTGGAAAAATTGCCCTGGCAAAGTCAATATACTCGAGGTGATCATGGTTGTCCAACAATTATGCTGGAAGCAGTTGCATCACAAGACCTTTGGATATGACATGCATATTTCGGGGTTGCCGGGTCTAACAATGACATTTATGTACTTAACCAGTCACCGTTATTCAATGATGTATTACAAGGTTATGCTCCTGAATGCAATTTTACTATTAATGGAAGAACATACACAAAAGGATATTATCTTGCAGATGGTATATATCCTGAATGGGCTACAATGGGTAAAAGTTTTCCACATCCGGCTGACCCAAAAAGGATCAAGTTTAAAAAAATGCAAGAGGCTGCAAGAAAGGATGTGGAGAGAGCATTTGGTGTTCTTCAATCTCGTTGGGCAACTGTACGAGGTCCAACAAGATATTGGCAACTTAAAAACATAAAGGATATAATGTATACATGCATTATATTACATAATATGATCGTAGAAAATGAAGGAAATGCAATTAGTAATTGGTCAGATGATGTTGATCCTCCTATACGTGTGAATCGAGGACCTGTCGAAGAAGTTCAATATCAAATTCAAAGAGCTGAACTACGTGACAATGCAGTACATCATGCTCTTCGACATGATTTAATGGAGCATATTTGGGAACGTTTTATTAATATTTAATTTAACTATGTTGTATTATAATAAATAAGATGTTATCTTTTTAAAATGTTTTTAAGATTTATATATATTTTTATTGTTGAGAATAAAAAATATGAAGTAACTTAATAAATTAAATTATTGAATATAAAATAAAATAAAGTATAGTATAGTATATATATATATATATATATATATATATATATATATATATATATATATATATATATATATATATATATATATAGTTTGTTTATTGCAAAAAAAAATATTAAATATTATTTTCTATATAAATTGAGAAAGAAAAAAAAATAAAGAAAAAATAAGTTTTTATAATAAAGTGAGAAAAAAAAAAGAAAGAAAGAAAAAATAAGTTTTTATAATAAATTGAAAAAAAAAAAAAAAAACAAACAAACCCATTACACCGTTGAATGGGGATTAAACCCCCATTCATTCAACCCACTCCACAATGCATTATATATCCATTCAACAGCCACATAAGCATTTTTTTCCCATTAAACTCCCCATGGAATCCCCATTGGGGATGGCCTCAAGACATATGGCCCGTAAGGACTTGATAGTTTGGAAATTACGAAGTGAGAGGCCGGCAGCTTCATTCATTAGTGAACTAAAAATAAAAAACAAGTGCAAGTATCATAGTGATGTGGCAATTAGCTTCCTAAACGGTGCTTGAGACAAAAAAATAACACCTTGGAAACATCTGCGCACGAGGTCTTGTCTTTACAGTTTGTATAAAAAAACCCCCATTACATCACAACAAGCATAGATCTTCAAAAGCAGCCATCCATGACAGTCAAATCCGTAGCATACACCATCCTGGTGCTGAGGATCATCACTCTTCTGATTTTAGCTGCTTCAGCAACGTACATGGCTCTTAACAGTTACAAACTTGCAGGTCAGAAGAAGATTACTTGGAAGGATCTCAAAACTTACAGGTATATATGCGTAATGCGTCCCTGGCACCTTACACCTTTTGCTTTTATGAACCAGTAAACACGCATCTAATTTAACAATTTTCATTTATGATATGATAGGTATGTTTTCGCGACCGCTGTCATCGGTGTTGTCTACACGCTGATTCAAATTCCTTTCGCTTTATATTATGCACGCACGGAGAAGAGGTTGATTCGTCATTCGTGTCTCCCAGAGTTTGACTTCTATGGAGATAAGGTAAGACCAATCGGAAAAAAAAAATATAACTATATAGAGAAAAAGACGAAATTTTTGTACACTTTTTGTCACAAAAAATGTACAGCGAATGTGAGACTAAAACACGATTTCTTTTGTTTTGTGTAAATATCCAACGTTCCTTTTTAAAAGACGACAACACACATTATTTCAGATTAATGGTACACACATATGGTGGACTTTAAATTTTGCAGTTGGTCAGTTACATTTTAGCAACGGGGGTTGGTGCAGGCTTTGCTGCATCAATGGAGTTACGGGAAATGGTAGATGATTTTGTTGCTGTCATTGCTATCATATTGGCTGCAGTAAATGAAAACATCAACTTGGCGATCAATCTTGATAAATTCCGTTCCGAAACTCATAAGTTTCTTCATCGCGGGATCATTGCTACTATTCTGCTTACTATTGGTTTCGCTTTCATGGCCATCACCTCTATTCTTTCATCCATTAATCGCACCCGAACCAATAGGTTCTTCAGTTAGTTGGCTATTGTTCTTAAATTTCTTCGGTTGACAAGTAATAATGTAATATATAACAATAACAAATTTAGTAATAAAATAAGTTCCAAAAACCATTTTTAATAACAGCCTTAGATTTCTAGGTAGCACTTGATCACCATTTGTAATGGAAAAAAGAGATTAATTATTTGTTAAATTGGGTAAATTAGTAATTCACCATCCAATGTACCAGTCATTTATGATTTGTTAATTTGTCTTTTTAACCATTGATGATATCATGGTCAATCTTTAATTAAGTTGTCCTAAAGGTGTAATAAAAATTGTTTCTTTTTTGTTATATTTTGTTTAAAGAACATTACTGAATGAGATTTAAGGGACTAGTTCGACTTCAATTAACATCAACTGAGTGTTTTTGGTGTTTACTCCTGGATATTATCGATCGGCAACCAACATATTTTCCATCGATCCTTGGATAAAGGTGTATATTCTATACATTGCTTGCTTGAATAATTTTTGTATATAAAAGTATTAACGTTATATATATTTAATATAGACTCAGGGGTTGTTTGATAGTTGCTGACTGAGTTAGATCTGACTGAGTCAACTGGGTCTGAAGCTCTGACTACATCTGCCTCTGACTGAAATCATCTTGTTTGATTATGCATCTGACTGACTGTGCTGACTGATAAAAATTACCAGTTTACCCTTTTTTGTTTTGTGTTGGATAAACTGTATTATTTTCTATAAGATATTTAAATAAAATTGCTGACTGATTATAAAAAAAAAAAAAATGTCATACAAAATTCAAATTAAACATAAATCATTGAAATTAAAAATAGAAAGATCCTAAAATTGAAACAAACCAAAAAAATTTGCATCAAAAAATTAACTTGAACAATTTGAAAGCAGTTGATTTGCAATCTGGTTACGCAAAGTACTCATATATATTCAACGCCTTCCGAACCCCATTCTATGCCCTCATTTCCTCCACCTTCCGCGTTAGGAGTAACGACATTGTTCTCTTTAAAAGCATGTATATAAGTCATCTTGAATATTATATTTCCTTATAAAATTATGTACTGCGACACAAGCAATGACTATATCTCGTTGAACTACAAAAGGATAAGGAGCCATTAGTTTTAAGATTGGGAATCTTGCCTTCAATACACCATAAGCACGCTCTATAACATTTCTGAGTTGTGCATGAGCATGATTGGATCTTTCTTCCTTAGTTAACGCCATTCGTCGTAAAAAATGGGCTAACCAATACCTGGTATTGCGATATAGAGTCATAGATCCATGAGTGTTTGTATATACAGCGTTACAAAGGTAATATTTATTTGTAAAGGTGAGCGTGATGCCTATTATATAAACAATATAGATAATAATAAAAGATATAGAAAGATTATAAACCTGGTGAAGGAAATGGAAATTCGGAAGTCGGATTAAATGCAATTTCATTCAAAACTCGTGAATCATGTGTTATGCCCTCCCATCCAGCCCATACAAAGGTGAATATCATATCAAAATCACAAATTCCCAATACATTTTGATAACACTCACCTTTTCCTCTTCCCCTATAACGAGTTTATTGATCAGTGGGCATAACTGCATGTACAAGAGTACCATCTAACGCACCTATTGCTCCGGGAAATATAGTTTTTAGCCTTCTATGGCGTTCCCAGGTATTTCCAATTGCACTAGAAGTTCTTGGCACTATAATTTTTATAGCAAAAGAGATCATTTCAATACAGACCTCATGAAAACATTTATGAATCGTTTGTGTGGAGTGTTGAAATCTTCTCTTAACCACTCGGAAGCGTTGATTATGCCCTATAACATGTAAAAATATAACTATCTTCTCTTCAATGCTTATTGTCTTACTAGTTTGCAACCAATTTTTTTTAGTAAAATGATTGCATAGCAGTAAAAATACCTCGCGTGAAAGACGCATTGTAACATCCTGTTTCGGATCGTACGTGTTTTAAGGTTCGTGGGCTGCAACCCGGGCATGAGGAAGCCTCGGGACTGTGACAAGTTGCTAGAAGCGTAGGGCTTCTCATCACCTTTCCGTGGATACGAGGTTCATTTGAAACGGAGTTATATCGAGGAAACTATGGAATTTTGATGTTTTGACAAGATAGGTCCCTTATTTGAGAAAGGTGGCAGCTAAGTACGTTGGGCGTACATATGTGTACGCTTAGCGTACTCATGTGCGTGACTTTTAAACAGAGCCACCTAGTAAGCTGGGCGTACCAGAGGGTACGCTGGACGTACTAGGCACATAATGAAACCCTAAATGAGGGGGTGTCCCTATATAAAGAATAAGATGGCCTCATTCGTGGCCACCATCCTCAGACAATCAACCCTCTCAAACCCTAAATATTCGTCCATTGAGCTTGTGTGTCCATTTATAATCTATTGAGTGATCTTGTGTTTCTTTGGAGTGAAGAAGGATCCTTGAAGAAGAAGGAGTGGGATTCCAGGCTTTGGATCTGAGCTTATCTGAGTTGGAAGCTTCATGCTGAGGTATAAAGCTCAAAGCTTTCTCACTCTTTTGATTTGTGCATCATTTTAGTGTATTTTAGGGTTTTAGTCCCAAAGTTGGAGACTTTATGAGATATTGAGCTCCAGAGTTTATTACCAGCTCCTTTGAGTATCTTAAGTGGTGTAGAGTCATAAAAATCAAGACTTGGACATTTGAATCAACCCATGCATGAGATATGAGCATTCTGAGATAAGAGAGTGAGAGTTTTGGGTGTTTGTGACTTTATCATCCATGCAAAGGATTAAACTAACAAGCTTTATGTAGTAAGAGCCATTAGGGAGTCCAGATCTGAGATTTGAGTTAAGGTCTTAATGGGTTAAGACCAAAGGAGTAGGAAGAGCAAACCTGGACGTACGCTGAGCGTAATTCCAGTACGCCCCGCGTACTGACCAAATGTCCTCGATGGCCAATCTGGATTCGTGCGTACGTTGAGCGTACCAAGGGAGGTACGCCCCGCGTAACCTCACTTTGGACTTTTGGGCCTTAAGTGTTGGGCCCGGAGTTTGGGCTTGTTGCACTAGAGTTTTGGACCAGAGGAATATATATATATATATATATATATATATATATATATATATATATATATATATATATATATATATATATATATATATATATATAATATATATATATATATATATTATATATATATATATATATATATATATATATGCCTTGGGCCCTTGAGTTGGACTTGAGAGTTGGGCCCTTTAGTGTTATCTGTTATTTACTCTAAGTATGTGTTGAGTTCTGAGTCGAGAGATAATCTAGGAGAGATACCTAGATGTGCATTTGAGGAATCTACTGAGAGAGTAGTGAGATACCCCGAGAGGTATGGTTGCTTGAGTTCGATGATACCTTTTGAGTGTGAGAAGAGCAAGTAGAGTTGTAACCTAGAGTGGTTTTACGTGTTGGTGGAGATTATTCGATGCCCAAATGTTGCTTGCTTTGTGCTTTGTGGAACTCTAGATGATGGGAGTCAGCTACCGAGTGAATATGATGATATTCAGGAGGTAGATGGCTGGCATCATGAAGAGTTCTTCAGCAGCTGATGGCGGATAAGTGTGTGAAGCTAGGAAAAGCCTGTGGAGTGACTTTAGTCAGAAGAGTACGCTGATAGAGGAGAGTATCCGCTGGATAACGACCAGGTATATCGGGATTGGTGATCGAGGAGGTTGAGCAGCTACTTAGAAAATCTGGGACGATCAGTGTGGAAAGTATGGGTAGATGTAGCAGGTAGTATGGGCCCGTACTACTGAAAGCAGAGGACCCATACTCGAAACAAGGAGGATTCCAGAGGTTCTAAGTAGCAGATTGAGAGGTGATCACATGGTTCGAGTACCATGATGCGTAGCAGATTGAGAGGTGATAACATGGTCCGAGTACAATGATTCGTAGCAGAGTGAGTTGCCATTTTTACCATTTATCCGACGATGGGTGTTCAGACCGGGAATGGATATGGTAAACTGAGGGGCCAGAGGGCCATATCGGTAGAGCTTCGATAGAGTGTACCTTGTGAGGAGATTGAGTTTGGACCACGAGGAGTTGGCTGGTGGGCTGCCAGTTGGAGTCGCAGAACTTGAGGAAAATGGAGGTGATATGCGGAGGAGGATTGCGGTCTGGGTTGAGTGATCGACTGATGGTTGAGATTCACATCCTGCAATGAAGATTACACAATTTCCATTTCTCGTGTGGATTGAACGAGATAACGAGCTTCCGGTTCCAGAGTTTGGAGGTAATTCTGTCGGGTATTATATAGTTGCGATGTTTTCGCCAGAGTGATTGTGGTATGTTTGTTGTGAGGTATTTCTTATACCATGAAAGAGTTATTAGTGGAGACTGAGGTAGATGAGGACAAGGAGTTGCCTTAGTTGAGTAAGGTCTACTTATTAGCAGCAGATTCATGCAATCAAGAGGAGTATACTGGGGTGGCGGCCCTCGTTGTCTACGTTGTGTATCGAATGTGAGAGTGAGGTCTCTTGCTTCTATGATGATCCACGTGATGTAATGTTCGTTGAGGGACCTGAGATACGGTGTGTGATAGTGCATTACTCCCAGATTGAGAGTCATGGCTAATTCGGAACAGTTGGGATATCCGGCGGTGTGTCGGTATGAGATTTCGGGATGACTACAGGCGGTTACGTGGGGAGGATTCCGAGGATTCCATCTGAAATTCGGGATATTTGAAGTTGCTTGGTCTTTATCGGGAGGATTATCGAGTGTTATGTGGTACGGTTCCAAGAGTCAAGTGTGATGTACCTGGTAAAACAGTCTATGGAGTAGATTGTGGGTATGTCAATTGGTGATGGTTCGAACCCTAAGTGAGGGAGAACTGGGTACTCTGTAGAGAGGATCAACGATCTGTTCAAGTGTGGTTAGAGAACTCGTGATGGAGATCTGCGGTACTGTCACATGAGACCTGGGTCATTGGTGGATGCGGCAAGGTGCAGAGCGAGATGATGCATGATGTACGTAT